ATTTTTAATTAATTGAAACTATCAGCTTGATTTGAGCTGTTCAGTAATGTCAAGCTGTTCAGCAATGTCAAGCTGTTCAGCAATGTCAAGCTGTTCAGCAATGTCAAGCTGTTCAGCAATGTCAAGCTGTTCATTAGTTTAACAACTACTACTATGGTATTTTGATGCTATATAAAGTAACCATTTCAAAAAATGTAGAAAATACCCAAAGCTTCTGATTTATCCCTAAACCAGCTGGTGAAGTATACATTGCAGAATTTTAACTCAAGGATATTTTACTTTTTTTCTTGGTACCCCTGTACAAGTAAAAGAAAATTGTCAGTACTTGAAAATAAATCAACTGGTAATATTAAGAACAATTTTATAATTTATCCCCTTGAGTTTTAACTTTTCCAACAAATTCTATTAAAGTTAACTTTTCCATGCTATCTCCATGTCACTATTATCTAAAAAAAATATTTAAAAAAAACAGGTTTGATGTGTGTCAGTGCTAATGGAGGTGAGACTATACGCATTTCCTGCACTTGAGTGATTTAAAAGAAAATAATTGATAATTAATAACAAAATAGTTTTAGTTTAGTTTATAATGATGGTGGCAATGAGAGTACCAGTACCAGAAAGGCAAAAAGCAAGCTTTGAGGACTGAAAAATGAACTGATGATTGTTGATCTTAAAGTTAAAAAATCTAATTCAAATATTAATAATACTAGTACTAGTGAATGATTAAGTTCAGTGAATATGAAGAAAGAAAGAATTATTGTCTGTATATTGAAATAAGGTTGATTAACTTTAATGAAAACTGATTCCAAGACAAATAAATACAAACATGAAGAGACATACATAAGCCTATACCGGTATGTAATTAATAATATTATATGATTATTCAAATGGCATGTAGTCTTTTTTTCACCAAATGCTTTTTTAAAAGAAATCTTGTGAACACATAGCAACCAATCAAGGCCCATTCAAACGCAGCATTCAAAATCTACAGCTAGGAGAAGCATGTTTGCCAGTATTTACAAATTAATAGTAATAGCAGTACAAATAATGAGGTCAAATTTAACATGGGGGTGATGTGACACTACCTGAGCACAGTGGCTTGCATGTGGGTAATAATTCTCTGACACACACATTACACTTGTGTACAGTGAAACAATACTGCCTGCCTCTGCTGGAGCCGAGACCCTCCACTGAACAGATTAAACCCCTAACATTATTTAAGCGGCAGATTGAGTTTTTAAAAAAGGGGAGTTTCCCAAAATAAAAGCCTCAAATGAAATAATGTCTACCAGTATGTTGGTCATGTAAACAAAATCAAATGGTTTGACTAAACAACAATTGAAAAATGGAATTGAAAAACTAGAATCAAAATGGCTATACCGGTATTAAAATGTAAAAGTTCTCAATTCACTTGTTAAATACACCACTTGAATTTGAATACTTTAGTCCCTATATCCCATGAACAGGGTTATTTAAATTATGCTCACTCTGCAGAGACTGGGAGCTGTCAAGGAGATGTGAGAACTGCTATGACCACCTCCCCGGGTGGACTTTAAAAATTGTTGCACTTAGAGGTTCTCAAGTACCACGCAGAACTGAGAGATTAGGAGTCAACACATCTATTCATGAAGGTGACATGAGCCAGAATTAAACACAATGACTAGATAGGAATGTCCATTGTTTACACAAATCATCATTAAAAAGTACCTTACACTTAACACTGGGAGACCTGATCAAAGAAATATTAACTAAAATGGACTAAATAGTGGCTTGCTCTCCTCCAGACAGAGTCTGAATTGTCTTAACCTCAGGCCTTGATGCAAGAAACAATCTCAGACTTGCATGTTATCAAGCTATCTGTACTTAAAAGTTGGGATGATAGAAATATCTGAAGTTGATACAACAAATCCTATCAACAAGTGGGTCTCACAATCATTTACCCTGACTGCTGTTTCTGATACAGTATTACAAGCTTATAATTAATACTTGAATAAATTACCCTGATTGTCACAATTGCTTAGAAAGCACTTTCTAAGATCTAAGATTTAAATATGGCTTACTATGAGGGCAAATTAGACCTATATGCATTTACGTATGTAAATACTGAATAGACAGCTCACTTTCACCCACAAGGAGCTAGTGAATGTGCCATTTCTTAAATGTGTAAACTAAATGTAAAACAACAAAGACCATAGTGAGTTGGAAAAAACAAACAAGAAAAGCACCATCACACTGCAACAATGCTAAAAGCATTGTCAATGTGCCCAGCACAATTGAATCATCCAATCATATTATTATATTTATTATTTGACTAATATTGCGTCTACTGTTAACATTTATTTCTTACTCTGGAAAAGCCAGATCTTCAAATGATTTAAAATGTATAAATTCAATTATTTTTGTAGCCCTGCAAAATTATTTTAGGGATTACTAATGTATGAGTATGGCACTCTCCCCCCCCCCCCCCCCCCAAAAAAAAAAAACCAAAACAAACTTGTATGGTACTTTTCTTTCCAGCAAAGCAGTTTTAATTCTTTTCAACTTAACCAAACGCCAGGAGCTGTAACTCTTAAACCACCCCAAAACCTTTGAGAGCTTCAGGCAACAATATAAATAAAAATACCAAATAACAATGATACATTTATTATAGTTATAATGAAATATCAATTTGTCCCTTATTCATGTACACAAATATTTACCAGTTCACTGTAGCTCCACTGCTGTTGCTAAATTAATTATTTTTTTTGTTAAGACACTAGAACAGGGGGACAATCGGTGGAAATCATTCATCAGATGTATCCCTATGGATGGCCGCAACCCACCCCTTCCCAAACCACCACTATTAAATGAAAATTGTAGACATTGACAAAGCAATACCTACGTGTGCATTAATTTAATGGCCTACACACCCAGGTATTGACATGGGTTATTTACAGACAAGACAATTCCACGGGCAATAGGCTGGACATGAAATACCTGCTGTACCGATACAGCAATGAGACATCAAATCGTATGTATACCTGCATACACAAACAGAGAACAGTATATTATAAATAAGATCATACATGAACATCTAGGGCTAGAAATTAATGTGATCAGCTTGTTTTTAATTGAGAATGTTTCAAAACTCAAATTTTTTGTTTAAAAGGGACAATTACTTAGTGTGAAGCAATCAAAAGTTTAAAACTAACTGAAGACATAAGCCTTAATTTTTTTTAATTTCCTTGCTCGGCACATTGTTAACTTTCCATCTCCTCAACAAATACAGCTTTATTAACACAAAGTTGACAGTCAACAATAATATTTACAGTGTTGTAATTGAGAGGGGAGGGGGTATTTAAATTAAAGCTGCATGTAAATAAATGAGGGCCCCGCCCGCCACTCGTCACAACCCCAAAAAATGCTGTAATTGCCTTAAGCTCTTAAAAAAAAAAGAGGACAGCCATTAGAATATATACAAGAGATTCGTATGCAGTAAAGACAATGCCAAAAAAACAAAGATGAATGCATGATCAATATCAACAAGAATATCCAATGAGGCGAGTACAAAAATTGAACATGACCTTCCTGTCAACTAAGCCTTTTTGGTAGGATGAAATGGCCTTAAAGCTATACATGCTAAAATCAAAGGGACCAGATCATCGGGGCAGGACTCGAGGACCAGCTCACAACACTCTTATCATAGAGACTGATGGGTCACATCAAAGAGGCTTAAGTTTGATCTGAGCTTGTGTTTTTAGTCAAAGTTTGATTTAAATTTTATCTGTAAAAGTTATTTTGATAACTTCCCAAATACAAACGGATGTATCTAGAAATGCATATTTATTGGTTAGAATGCATCATTTTCAGTTAATTCTATGTGCTTAAAAATTAAAGTTCACTTAAAACTGAAAAAAATATGATGCTCACCATTTTTAAAAGCAGTTAGGGGAGGGCGGGAGATGCCACATAAAGGTAAAATATGCACACATAAAAATCATGATATAAAAAAAAAAGCCTTCACATGGGGGCTGAATGTTAGGAAAAAGTTCATAGAACTTGGGCCCACTAATGTTTTCACAGCCTATCAGGTGACTCTGACCAATTAAGTCTAAATTTAATTTCATCATTGCAGAACACCAAAGTCAAGATTAAGCAACATTCAGAGAGGGTAAGAAAACAGTAAGATGAATTGAGATGGTAAATACAATGCTCTCATGATGTTAGATATTTATTGTAATTAGACGACTTTTGGCACGTTTTCTCATGGTCACATGCTACATGGAGAAAAATTGTGATACAAGAAAAGATGGTTGGGTGACCCCTTAGTTGTTGTTTTTTAAAAACTCTATCCTAAATGGGGAAACTAGAATTGTCATATAGTGGGGGGAATTAGGACTGTCTAATACAATGAGGAAACTTCTAATGTGGAAAATAGGACTGTCTTCTTAAGTTGAAACTAATGCATTATAATGGGGAAAACAGGATCGTCTTGTATTTATTATTTGGAAAACAAGGGCTGTCTTATATTGGTAAAACAAGGGCGGTCTTATATTGGGAAAACAAGGGCTGTCGTAGGACAAAAATCCTCATGTCAAGTACAAGGGGTAACAGGGGTTATGACAATGAGCATTACCAATCTGAGGTTGTTACCAGGTCTCATACTCAGTAATGAACATGACCAGAATGAGGAATGGTAATGATCATGGAGGTAGAGCGAGTGGATTGTGATTTATGTATGGAGGTAGCAACAAATAGATGATCAGAATGAAACAGATGTATGAATGGCAAAAATATAATCATGGTAGGAATAAATACTTCTTTTTCAGTAACTTTACAAGTTGCTTTTTGTTGTTGTTGTTCACTGGCCTTCACAAGAGATTTCACTAGAGATACACATTCTCTTCAGATAAACCTGGCCTTGAACCAACTGACATTCTCAAATGATTAAAAAAACTCTCAACACAAATGCATGTATTAAATATAAATAATGATTTATAAATATTTTATTGACTTTTTTTCCAAACTGGCCTTTTTAAAAACATCTTTTCACTGTGACTGGCATTTTATCAATGGAATACGATTTTATAATACAATGTCTATTCAGTGTCAGTGCAAATGTAGGAGAAAATATGTCCATGACAATGTTCTGTTAATATACATGATACATGTTTTTGGTTGTTTTTTTCCCTATTGATACTTCTAAAATATCAATGTGTGTTGTTGACAAGCATTTGGAACCATTATATAACCATACAATAAAACTGTACAGCATCTATAACCAAATATAGCAATATATACATACCATACATCAAATTGTAAGCAAAGATCAATTGTACCTCATTAGAATTGTACAGTACTGGGGAAAACAAGGGGTAAAAGAAGTGAACACAAGTGCAAATAAAATATAGAGTAGACGACTAGAATAAGACCTTGGACTTAAAGAGCCAGCAAGTACTACAGGCCTTGGGTGCCAGCAAGGACAACATCATAGTGGATTCAACTTTCATTCGTTGGTTAATTTAGTTTGGTGTGCGGCTACAAATGAAGATAGCTTTAGGCCTCAAGGGTCCTCTTCGGTGGCATGCATATACATTTTCATGGCACCCTCTCCCCCCACCCAACAACACAAAAATTGATCCACCACCCTGGTGAAATATTTTTTGTGCATTATTGAGAAATTCAAAAATTTCTTCTGCCAAGGAAATAGCTTAGATTGTTTTAATATACACGGCACTCCAGTCATGAAAGTGTGGATAAAAATTCAAGGAGAATCAAATCAACCAGATGAATGTACACTACTGAGGTTTTGATTGTAGACTCAAGGATTGCTATCACTATTAAGTTCCTTAGATGCTCTTCCACCCCCCCCCCTTTTTTTTTCCAATAACATGAAGAAGATAGGGGAGGGAAAAAAAAGAAATCAAAAAAAGGTTTTGATGGAGATTGGTAAGTGGTGAAACACAAGAAATGCATCAGTGCCGCAGGAAGCAAAGTCTTCAGAGAAATGAATGGATCATTCCATTTAAAAGAATGTACATTTAAAGAACAAAGACAATGCAGGTCAAATTAAGTACTGTTTGACGAGAACATCAGGATGAATGACAGTTTAAAACAGTTGGATTACACTCAGTTTTCTAATCCACCTAGGATTTTCAGCAAGAATATGAGGCTTAATCTAATAAGTGCTCTGGCTAATCAGCAAAGAGAAAATAACAAAGGATTATTTTAGGTGATGTGTTGATTCAGAGAAAGTGGGTTGGGGGGGGGGATGACCCCCCAACCATCATTTAATTGTTTTCAGATTAAGTTTATCTCAAATTACAACTTGGTCTATCTTAGTCAACTTGATGAGCATTAAAATCCATGTGTGGTGGCAGTTAAGATGTGCACCTTCTGAGCAGTAGATCTACCAGCATGGCCGTCGTTGGGTGATCCATGGCAGTAAGATTCTCTCTGAACAGTAGATCTACCAGGATGGGCGGTTGGGTGATCCAGAGCAGTAAGATTCACCATAACAGTTGAACATTTTACCCTGACATTTCTCCAATGGCAAACCACCAAATCTCACATTGAATCTTCACATAAATATGAACAACCAAATATTTTCTGGTTTGTTTTTTAACTACTGACATGTATGAATAATGAACAGGTTTAAAACCAGTATGGCCAAATAACAAGATGCTCCATGTGGTGATGGACACTTTGTGGAGATGACCCAAAACAATACAGTTTTAAGATCATTGATCAGCTATAACAAAAATATAACAACAGAATATCATCATACCATAAGAACTTTGAATAAAACATTAAAACAATTGTTGAGACATGTAGCTAGGGGAAAATATTACATCCAAACTTGTTCATAATTATATATCAGATTAAATTATCAGTACAAGATACAAATTTGTTAAAAAATGTTCTTTTTTTTTTTAACAGCCATGAAAAGTTTAACACACCATAAATATTTCTCTTCAAGCTGAGGAGAATGTTTATAACTTTTTCTCATTTCACAAATTCACACCTACAGATTTTTTTTTTTTTTTTGTAACACTCATTTCACATCCACTGACTTTTTGTTATTTCTCATTACGCATCAACAGACTTACAATTCTCAAAAAAAAAAATAAATAGAAAATTGGGTCTTTCACACAAAAGTTGTTTCAAGTGGTAGTGTCTTATGTTTATTGACTTTTCTGTAACTGAAAATCTGCTACTAAAGCTTTTGAACAATACCGGTATCAAAATCATTCATTTGCAATTTTGAAAATCTTTTAAGCTATCTGCCATTCGAGGATTTTTAAATCCGCACTTTCAACTTGCATTAACTGGCAACAATTAAATTTTCATTGTCCATTTCTTCACTGAAGACTCTTATAAAGGACTGTCATTGGTCAGTTACCATTCAGTACGTTTTTACCAGCATCCTGTTGACAAACATGGCTACCCCATGCAGCCCAGACTAATAAAAAGCAAAAATAATAATACTAATTAATTGCAGTTCATATGGCTTGTTGGATGCATTGTAGGAGGTCTCTCCACTTATCTATGTTATAGAATTATCAGCCGTCTATTGCACCCCACTGCAGGTGAGCTCACACAGTGAAGCTGAACCATCAAATGAGGACAGTTTGTAATAAATAGTTTCTGGACTAATCTCAGCACGAGGATGCACTGGTTCGCCGTCTAATGTTTGCAGATTTCTGTGTCAGCACCGGGGGTGTGATTCTTGTGGTCAGCGCCGAGCCCAGACACAAATGTGATGGTGCGGCAGACCCGCCTGGCAGCTGAAACAAAACGGTTCCGACGCTGGCAAGCCCGTCCTCTGTTGGCTCAATGGCGATGGGGATGACACGCAGCTCTCTGGGCGGGGGCAAGCTTGACAAGGTGTTGATCTCATTGTTGTTGTAATACTGATTTCGGTAACGGCTCAGTCTTGAACGGCGCCTTATCAAACCAGAATGGAGCGGGAGATAAAGTGGTTCATCGTGCTCCACCAGGACAAGAATTCTTGCAAATGGCCGAGACGCCATGCATTCCATTTCCCTTTCTCTCATCTGCCGCGACCTGCGGGCGTCAAATGTCTGTTTCATCTTCCACAGCATCACGCACACGGCCAAGAATAGGAAAAAGCAGGAGAAAAACACAGAGAAAAATACAAACAGATCAATGTGAGGCTGATCCTGTCTGAAATACAAGTTGCCATACGTTGTGTTATCGGGGCTTCCACCACGCGACCTCACGATGATAAAGAACTTGGATGTCCGCAGGTCGTGCTGGTCACGAGGCAGCGTTATGACCAAACGGAACCTGACATCCCGAACAACCAGCATGCTGTTCTGCTGTCCCACGGTGATGTACGTATTCAGTTCTCCAGCCTCAATCTCTCCCATCTTGGTTCCGCTCAGCCCTGCCAAGCTTTTCCCTTCCTTGTTGGCATCGGTGACAACTGTTCCCCTCCTCTGCCGTTTCTTGGCCGCCGTCTGATTCCTCCATTTGTTGAGTACATTTTCGTAATGCTGGGGCAGCACACTTTCATTCTCCAAGTTGGAACTTTTGTCAGACACAACATAGAAAAGTTTCTCTATGTCATCCGGTTTGAAGTCCTGAATATAGCTCATTTTTTGCCTCACACTCTCGTGGAAATTCTTCTGAGTCTTACGCCCTTTTTTGTGCTTCAGTTTGCGCTTGTTCAATTTTTTCCCTCCTTTCCGGTCTTCGTCGAATGCATCCTCAGCCTCATCCTCGTCATCCTCCTTATCGCTGGAATCATCATCATCTTTGTCCGTGCTTTCAGAGAAATCAAAATAGAGGTTGGAACTATTTGCCTTGGAATCTTTCTTCCTGCTGCTGTCTCCTGGCTTTGCAGCCGCTTTCTTCAGGCTCTCAAACTGGGACAGCTTGTAGAATTCCGTGTCGGTGGTTTTGAGCTTTAGATAATCGGGGACCTTGTCTGTAATAAGGACGGACCCACTCTCATGCAGCTGCAGGCTGCGTCGAATGACTTCATCGTCAAATTCACCTGAATTAATCATGATACTCCTGCGTGCCAGTCCAGCCCGACCAGATGCGTATGTTTTGTCCAGGAAAATGGTGTGCATTCTGTAGAACTCATCGTTGAATACTTGATAGGTGTCCTTTTTGTTAGACAAGAAGACATCTGCACCTGAAATGAACAAGTGTAAAAAGGTTGCCGGGGTAGAATAAATATAAAAAGGAAGAATAAAGTGTTGATTTTATTCCTATTATTATCTAATGGTGTTTTCTTTATGTTTAAGGGTCAGATATCAAGGGTAGTTAAATCATGACCCCTGACCTCTGAAAAACATCTTTTTCAGGCCTCCAACTCAAGAATGAAGTTAAACCCTGGTTGAAATTTTAAACATTTAAAAAGTGTCTTTAAAGCATAAATAATTTTCAAGCATTTCTGTGTTTTGAAAGAAAAAGCAGATGTGGCCATCGCATTCATCACACAGCTTGCAACACAGAGACATGGATAAAGCAACAAGACTCACTTCCCACAGTGACATCTATGGTGATCCTTATATCCACATTGAGATACTTTGGCTGCACCACAAAGAAAACGGTTTTTCCCATCTGCAGAGCCTTGGGGAACTGGTTGCAGTTGTTTTGAGTGTCTGGGTCGAAGCAGTAGTCCCTGTCTACATTCATCTGACGATAGCACTGGTGGCCGTTGGTCGGCGTGCCCAGGAAATACTCCTTGCAGTTTGCACACTGAGGAAATTATGGCATTTTGGATTATATATTTATATATTTTTTTTACATTAGCATATGATTGCCAAATGTTTAACAGCAAGCTCGTCACTGGTATTCTTTACTTTATTGGAATGAAAAATTCCTGTCTTGAAAGTTGAAATCTTCTCCATTTTTAGAATTTTGTTTAATGCTCAGTTTCTGTTGTTTTGTGCTGTGTTTAAGAATGGGTCATTAAAATACTGAATAAATAAAGCTCCATGAGAGATCTCTCTTGTTTCCACTGGTCACCATGTAAAAGGTGCAAGACCCACAACATACGCGTCTTTTGCTCCAGAATTATGTGGAGGCGGTCATGTATTAACTCTCAAATGAATTTCTGTCTGCATTTGGATTGGCTTTTTCGAAGCATGAACAGAATTATTGAAAGAAAACTATTAATAAATTAAAGAATGAAAGTTTTTATTTTTATATCGTACATAACCTCAAAATTGTACCATATAGAATATTACAAGTAAATCAATAAACATACAGTATTTATAATGTATAGTGGGATTGAGCAAGGCTTGAGTCAAAAAAGATAACTCCAAAAATAAATGACCAACATTTTTAAATATTTAAATCTGCTGTCACGTTTTTTTTTTGCAGACGTGTATTTGCTATAGATATTAATTTATATTGAGTAAACATGCAGATCACATTATCACAGTCTGTCACAGGTAAAAATAAAGTTACTGGTGAGATTTTACGTGGTTCATTTAAAAAGCCTACCAAGTAACTTGAGATTAATAATTTAGGAAAAGATGGTTAAAAAAAAAGAAAAAGAATACCCTATTTTGCACTAATATATTATATTCTGATAACTACCCCCAACTGTAAATGAGTGAAAGGAAGAGGAGTGTTGGAACCAAACAGGGGTATAAAAAAATTGTACAGCTCTCTTGTGCGTTATAAAAATAGATTACAACGGCCCTCTCAGATCCTATTAAACAAGTCGAAATCTAAAATTTAAACTAAGATCTAGAAATAATTCAAGACAAATAAAATTTACAGAGCACAGATGTAGTCTAGTCCTGGCAGTTACATTGCAATCCAGAATTTACCTGCATTTCCCAGCATTCAACATCCTTCTCACACATGGTCTCAGTGTTGTTCTTACACTGGCAGTTCTCTCCTGTGTCCATGTTACAAACGTTGCCGTGACCATTGCACTGACATCTGAGTGAAAAGAAGCAAGATAAAAACTTGTTCGCTAGATTTAAAAGAATACATGTTAAATAGACCTCTCATTTTCAGTGTATTGAACTGACTTTGCTTTCTACATTTACAATTGAAACACTTTTCAAAGAAAATTTGTTATCTAAACCCCTTCAATCCTGGGCGCTCAGAAATTTTATCATTGGAAACCTGAACCTAAGGGGAGCAACTCCATCCTTACCGTAGAAAGGTTTTGAAAAAATTTTTAAACAAATCTATTGAACAGTATATTTATCTGAAATAAATTGATTTGCATTCATAGATGGTTACATGTTGTGTAACATTCCTAATGCTTTTCTTGTGTAAATTCATAAAAGTCAATTTCTGACGAAGTATTTGAATACTAATGATCATAACACTAAAATAAAAATCTGCCTTTTAAATAATTAATACTCCTCGCCCAATAAATAAAAATATTTAAAAACGAGAGTAATCTCCATTGGTCTCGTTTCTAGCGAGATTTTTTTTTAAATAGCGAGATTTCCGCTTCCTATTTAGCAATGTGTAAACAAAGGGTTGAGTGGCCGGATTTGGCCATAGTGGGATTGAATCAGTACTGGCTGGATTTCGCCTGATTTGGCCGCTACGGGTTGATTAGGTTAATGCAACATTATCTCAGCATTTGTCAAAAACAACTGGTGACTGAGATAACTGATTCAACCACCTCAGCATTGTATTCAAGATATTCCAAAAATCTTATTAACAAGTTTAAACCAGCTAAACAGCTACTGGCAGAGTAAACATTAATGAATAGATCCACGTGCTCCAAACATGGAAATAATGCCAACTAAACAGCTACTGACAGTGTAAACATTAATGAATAGACCCACTTACTCCCGACAAGGTTTGGTCTTTGGCTCGTCCATCTTACGGAAGTGGCCACTGATGCAGCTCCCACAGTGTTCACCTGTTGTGTTGTGCTGGCAATCAAAACACTGGGCCTGATTTTTGTAAAAGCTTTTTGATTTCTAAAAGGGAGAGAAAAAAAATTCAAACAGAGATTAAATCATAAAACAGGTTTACCTTTGACAGTTCCGACACTTCTGCATCTTTCTTTGTTTTTTTACAGATGTCATGCATTAGTTGATTTTGTAATTTGTTGGAATTGTTCAAGTTTGTTATGTAAAGATCAAAGATTATGGATGAAAGGATTTTTTTTTTTTTTCCATAATGGAACTGAATCGCTGAATGACACCCTCCTGATCATTCCTGTTATTTTTCTTATAAAATAAAATTGGATATTTTTTTTTTATAATTCCCGTTCCCACCCTCTGGAACAAACACAAAAATGCTTGTCATATCATCTAACAATAAGCTGAACATTTGTCTCATTGTGTACACTAGTTATATTTTATTGGTTATAAATATAAACAAAAGCTAGTACTGTAAACTCACAGCAGAGTTTCCCACCAAAGAGAGATTATAATCATCTTTAGTCATGCACTTGTCTGTGTGATTGTTACAGAACTCCCTGCAGGGAATACAACGTCCACCCTCCTCTGGGTTACCAACAAATCCAGGCAAGCATTCTTCACATCGGTCACCCTGCAATCACATCAAATAACAAGACATAATTTACTTTAAGGTGACACCGTAGCCTTCATTACACCTCCATAGAGCAGTTTCTCCAGATTAACAAATTTAACCAAATATTTATACAAACAGTACCTGGCTAGAGGTAAAGCAACAAACAGATTTCAACAATTTAAAGTTGGCATTGTTGTTTGTACCTGTTCAATAAATATCCATGCCATTGTTTTCTAATGGTGCAAATAAAATCACAAGTCTTTATGGTAAACTATACTTTTGTAACAGAAAATGATAATCAACAAGAATTTTTTTCAGGCTTAAAACTGAAATAAGAGATCCGATTGAATAAAATGTGAGACCCACAAAACACTTGTGCCAGATTTCAGATTGCGCTCACCCTCGTGTTGTTCTCACACTTGAGACATTTCCCCGGCTCAGCGACACTCTTACAGTTGCTGTGCTTGTTGCAGAGGCACTCCACCGAGCAGTTGCTGCCCACGTAGCCAAAGTCACACTGGCAGTGGTCAGGCTTGATGCACACACCTTTCACACAGCTTTGGTGGCACACGGGTTCACACTTGTTGGCTCTGGGGATAAAATTAATTTATGCCCGTCATAAGAGAATAACAAGAAACTCACAGGACATAACATTGCTAAATAATAATATATTAACATTGAAAGGAGTTGTTTTTTTTATATTTTTTTATATTTGTTGTTTTTCCTAGAAACCCATGTGGACTGAAGGATCTGGACATTGAACAAGTACCCTTTAAAAACAACTTAAAATATTTGAAGTGTTTGAACTATTAAAAAAAAACACAAAAAACAGGCCATGGAATTTATGATCTTGTCCAATGTTTAAAATATATAGTTAGCCTCTTATCATTGTAATTTTATTACAAAAAAAGTGTTGTTCGTCTTTGGCATGGGAAGATGGCCACTGATATAATTGACGGCGGGTGCGCAGGTGACTTGAAACTTCTAACTGTGCCTGGAAAGCTTGCCCATATGCAGGACACACAAGTCCTGTGGTCATAGAGGGATTGGCTCTACTTTCTACACACAATAAAGTAGCTAAAAAATGAAGGCACAAAGTTGAGCTACAATTATAAAAATTTGAAGGCTATTTGAAGGCTCAGCCAGAATGATGATCATGAACAATGATACAATCCAGACGAGGTAAGTTAGAGCATATGCCAGGGACAATACTATTTCAAGATCTGCTGTTTCCAGGTTTTAAATAACATAAGCAGCAGAAATGCACTTACATCAAGATGTATCCTTCCTTGCAGTCACACCTGAAGTGTTTCAGGGTGTCGTAGCAGTTCTGGGTTATGTTATTACAAGTGTGGTGGTTGTTGAGGCATTCATTCTCGGGCTGGCACGTGTCGTACGACCAGATAGGGTGGGCTATATGTGATGAGGGGATCTCTGGCTTGCCTTTGCCTTCCACTGAAAGACATTGTGACAAGTTATTACAAGCACTGTAAAACACTGTAGGTGGTCATTGAAACAAATTGACAAGAAAACATTTTAAAAAATTATTTCATATTAAATAAGTCGCTTATTGTTGGCATGGTGTGGTATTCAGGAAACAATGTCTCCAAATAAATGTTGAGACAAAATTGTAGATTAACAAGCATTGTGAGACTTAATTTCAACAATAAAACTAGAATGATTTGATACTTAATGTATAACAAATTTACATTTAAATAATTTGCACGGCTGCCACCTGGAAGTTTGCAGCCTTTTCCAGCCCCTTTATTTGATGGTCATTCAGAAGTATTAACCTTACAGTTGAGCCACATCTTCTTGTCTATCTTTAAAGTATAAAGTACAAATTTAATGCTACAGACCTTTTGCACTGAGGTAGAACCTCAAATTACTATCGGACGTTGGTTGCTAGGTCTCACAAACTTAGCTTTTTTGATAACATCTAATACGGACAGTACCCCCCATTGATTTCCTTAGTACAACCTACCTATTTCACTAACAAAAGGTATATCATCTAATACGGACAGTCCTCCCCATTGATTTCATTAGTGCAACCAACCTATTTCACTAACAAAAGGTATTTCATCTAATACGGACAGTCCTCCCCATTGATTTCATTAGTGCAACCAACCTATTTCACTAACAAAAGGTATTTCATCTAATACGGACAGTCCTCCCCATTGATTTCATTAGTGCAACCAACCTATTTCACTAACAAAAGGTATATCATCTAATACGGACAGTCCTCCCCATTGATTTCATTAGTGCAACCAACCTATTTCACTAACAAAAGGTATATCATCTAATACAGACAGTCCTCCCCATTGATTTCATTAGTGCAACCAACCTTTTTCACTAACAAAAGGTATATCATCTAATACGGACAGTCCTCCCCATTGATTTCATTAGTGCAACCAACCTTTTTCACTAACAAAAGGTATATCATCTAATACGGACAGTCCTCCCCATTGATTTCATTAGTGCAACCAACCTATTTCACTAACAAAAGGTATATCATCTAATACGGACAGTCCTCCCCATTGATTTCATTAGTGCAACCAACCTTTTTCACTAACAAAAGGTATATCATCTAATACGGACAGTCCTCCCCATTGATTTCATTAGTGCAACCAACCTATTTCACTAACAAAAGGTATTTCATCTAATACGGACAGTCCTCCCCATTGATTTCATTAGTGCAACCTACCTATTTCACTAACAAAAGGTATTTCATCTAATACGGACAGTCCTCCCCATTGATTTCATTAGTGCAACCAACCTTTTTCACTAACAAAAGGTATTTCATCTAATACGGACAGTCCTCCCCATTGATTTCATTAGTGCAACCAACCTTTTTCACTAACAAAAGGTATATCATCTAATACGGACTGTCCTCCCCATTGATTTCATTTGTGCAACCAACCTATTTCACTAACAAAAGGTATTTCATCTAATACGGACAGTCCTCCCCATTGATTTCATTAGTGCAACCAACCTTTTTCACTAACAAAAGGTATATCATCTAATACGGACAGTCCTCCCCATTGATTTCATTAGTGCAACCAACCTATTTCACTAACAAAAGGTATATCATCTAATACGGACAGTCCTCCCCATTGATTTCATTAGTGCAACCTACCTATTTCACTAACAAAAGGTATATCATCTAATACGGACAGTCCTCCCCATTGATTTCATTAGTGCAACCAACCTATTTCACTAACAAAAGGTATATCATCTAATACGGACAGTCCTCCCCATTGATTTCATTAGTGCAACCTACCTATTTCACTAACAAAAGGTATATCATCTAATACGGACAGTCCTCCCCATTGATTTCATTAGTGCAACCAACCTATTTCACTAACAAAAGGTATATCATCTAATACGGACAGTCCTCCCCATTGATTTCATTAGTGCAACCTACCTATTTCACTAACAAAAGGTAGGCTGATACTGAAGTTTCCTTCGGAGCATGCCCCACCTTGAGTGGGACCCAGGATACCACCTGGCATACAGACCCCCTGGCCGTTCATTCCGCCAAACGCACACCAGCCACAGTCAGGGGAGGCTATGCAGTCGGCACACTTTGTGTAAGTCTCACAAGGAGTGGGGCAGGTGTATTCTCTACCCGCTCTGACAAAATGGCACTCTCCCAGGGTGCATCTCAAGGGGAGGTAGGCTGGTGCCATACACTGTTGAAGAATAAAATGTATAAAGATAAGTTTAGAAATATTTGATGTTATATACTTGATATCTACTTTTCTTTAACTTAAGGAGTAAATCAAAATTTTTTCAGTTGCATTTTTTTTCTTCTTCCATTTCTTAAATGGCTGTAATATTATACTTGGAAGTATTGATTATGCCATTGGTGCTAGTTTAGCTATACATTTTTAAGAAAAAACAGAAAATTATTGTTTTAAATGCTGCATACTTAACTAAGATGGGATGATTTTGTTTTGATCTTTCATGCTGTTTTAATTGCACATCTTTGGCTCCATGGATGAATGGGTGAGGTATTAGTTCAAAATTTGTTTACTCAAAATAAATATATGAATGAATAAATGAATGCTCTTACCTCCTGAAGCATCTCACTCCACATACACTCACTGGACCCCCCTTCACTGCCGTGGGACTTCAGACAGCTCTCACAGGTTCTGTGCGTGTGGCACCGCGCTGGACACTGCTCGGGGGGAGCAGAGTAGTATTTGCCCGTGGCAGACGGCTTCAGTCCGGACGTGACACAGTTCCAGTTGTACATGGGCTGGGGGGTGAAGTAACGACCTGCTTCAGCTGGGGGGGAGATAGTTAAGAAAACATTGTAATCCATTTCATGGTCAACAGTGTAATCTTCTTCGTGGCTGGCAAAGTTACAATACTGGAACTGAATTCCGTGAAGAGCAGTAATGAATCTAATCACCCTTTGGATGAAACATCAATAGCTGAAACCCTTAGGAGCAGGACTATCAAGTCAGAAACAAATTGAGGCAAGTATACAAACTGTGAGTCAAAAAATATACAGCACAAAAACATGGTGTACTGTTAACTATTTTTTCTTCCGTGTACAGTCAGGCTCAAGATATAGAGTATTTTCTTCCGTGTACAGTCAGGCTCAAGATATAGAGTATTTTGTTCCATGTACAGTCAGGCTCAAGATATAGAGTATTTTCTTCCATGTACAGACAGGCTCAAGATATAGAGTATTTTCTTCCATGTACAGACAGGCTCAAGATATAGAGTATTTTCTTCCATGTACAGACAGGCTCAAGATATAGAGTATTTTCTTCCATGTACAGACAGGCTCAAGATATAGAGTATTTTCTTCCGTGTACAGACAGGCTCAAGATATAGAGTATTTTCTTCCGTGTACAGACAGGCTCAAGATATAGAGTATTTTCTTCCGTGTACAGACAGGCTCAAGATATAGAGTATTTTCTTCCGTGTACAGACAGGCTCAAGATATAGAGTATTTTCTTCCGTGTACAGACAGGCTCAAGATATAGAGTATTTTCTTCCGTGTACAGACAGGCTCAAGATATAGAGTATTTTCTTCCGTGTACAGACAGGCTCAAGATATAGAGTATTTTCTTCCGTGTACAGACAGGCTCAAGATATAGAGTATTTTCTTCCGTGTACAGACAGGCTCAAGATATAGAGTATTTTCTTCCGTGTACAGACAGGCTCAAGATATAGAGTATTTTCTTCCGTGTACAGACAGGCTCAAGATATAGAGTATTTTCTTCCGTGTACAGACAGGCTCAAGATATAGAGTATTTTCTTCCGTGTACAGACAGGCTCAAGATATAGAGTATTTTCTTCCGTGTACAGACAGGCTCAAGATATAGAGTATTTTCTTCCGTGTACAGACAGGCTCAAGATATAGAGTATTTTCTTCCGTGTACAGACAGGCTCAAGATATAGAGTATTTTCTTCCGTGTACAGTCAGGCTCAAGATATAGAGTATTTTCTTCCGTGTACAGTCAGGCTCAAGATATAGAGTATTTTCTTCCGTGTACAGTCAGGCTCAAGATATAGAGTATTTTCTTCCATGTACAGTCAGGCTCAAGATATAGAGTATTTTCTTCCGTGTACAGTCAGGCTCAAGATATAGAGTATTTTCTTCCGTGTACAGTCAGGCTCAAGATATAGAGTATTTTCTTCCGTGTACAGACAGGCTCAAGATATAGAGTATTTTCTTCCGTGTACAGACAGGCTCAAGATATAGAGTATTTTCTTCCGTGTACAGACAGGCTCAAGATATAGAGTATTTTCTTCCATGTACAGTCAGGCTCAAGATATAGAGTATTTTCTTCCGTGTACAGTCAGGCTCAAGATATAGAGTATTTTCTTCCGTGTACAGACAGGCTCAAGATATAGAGTATTTTCTTCCGTGTACAGACAGGCTCAAGATATAGAGTATTTTCTTCCGTGTACAGACAGGCTCAAGATATAGAGTATTTTCTTCCGTGTACAGACAGGCTCAAGATATAGAGTATTTTCTTCCGTGTACAGACAGGCTCAAGATATAGAGTATTTTCTTCCGTGTACAGACAGGCTCAAGATATAGAGTATTTTCTTCCGTGTACAGACAGGCTCAAGATATAGAGTATTTTCTTCCGTGTACAGACAGGCTCAAGATATAGAGTATTTTCTTCCGTGTACAGACAGGCTCAAGATATAGAGTATTTTCTTCCGTGTACAGACAGGCTCAAGATATAGAGTATTTTCTTCCGTGTACAGACAGGCTCAAGATATAGAGTATTTTCTTCCGTGTACAGACAGGCTCAAGATATAGAGTATTTTCTTCCGTGTACAGACAGGCTCAAGATATAGAGTATTTTCTTCCGTGTACAGACAGGCTCAAGATATAGAGTATTTTCTTCCGTGTACAGACAGGCTCAAGATATAGAGTATTTTCTTCCGTGTACAGACAGGCTCAAGATATAGAGTATTTTCTTCCATGTACAGACAGGCTCAAGATATAGAGTATTTTCTTCCATGTACAGACAGGCTCAAGATATAGAGTATTTTCTTCCGTGTACAGTCAGGCTCAAGATATAGAGTATTTTCTTCCATGTACAGACAGGCTCAAGATATAGAGTATTTTCTTAAAGAACTTTCTTTTTCTTGCACGGATTATAAAGTGAACTTTCAAATATCTGGAGGGTAAAAAGTTGAAAACGGCCAGACATTGACATCAAAACCACCATGTGATGTACAGACCAAGTTAAAAACGGCCAGACATTGACATCAAAACCACCATGTGATGTACAGACCAAGTTAAAAACGGCCAGACATTGACATCAAAACCACCATGTGATGTACATACCAAGTTAAAAACGGCCAGAAATTGACATCAAAACCACCATTGTGATGTATAAACAAAGAGGGGCTTAAATATATTCATAACAGGTTAGTCCCTAAATGAACTCTATACTTTGTTTAATTTAGAAGTAGTTTTTTTTTAATTCATCAGGCCCAATCACAAATGTATTTTCTTAGAGGACCTTTCCTCAGATATTTGATGATTCATTCAAAGCTCCAATCAAAAACATTTGTCTCCAAGCTCTAAGTCAGCTGGATCATGATTCAACTGCCCGTATGTTGATGATCTTTGGTTAAAAAACCACTGGGGATATGTCGTAACCAGAAAAAACATAATGGACTCACTGGATCTCTGAAAGTGTCTGCTCCAGAAACAGTTCCCTAGTTTCGCACACTTTTCACAGTCAGAGGCGGCACAGCTGTTCTCCATACAATCTTGGGTCTGGGTTTGACTGATTGGTGAGCTGCACTGATTCAGGCAGGTTTCGCCTAGAGTTACACAGCTGGGAGTGCGGCAGTTGCTGCACCAGGCACAGTTCTGAGATGGAAACAAACAATAGGATCATGCTTTTAAAGTGTTTATTGGCATGGCATCACCTGGAGGTCAGGACATCAAATAATTTATGAATCTTGTGCTTGAAAAGAAGAACCAGTGTAATCTTTAACCTCAACACAACAAGTCAGTGTTGAGGATATAAGTTTAACCTTTAAAGTTTCCAGTGCTTAGAAACAAAATATAAACTTTAAACTCAACTTAATAGGTCAGAGTGTTGAGGCTTTACATAGGAGGTAAGTATTTGGACCCGAAGTCTCTGTACTATTAAAACAAAAGTTAGCAAGACTCACTGGTCCCTGGTCCTTGATACGCGGGTGCGTGGCCAGACACTGGCTACAGGTCTTGTAACGTTTACACTTGTTCTGGGCTTGATTCCTCAAGTTGCACAACCTCTCCTCTGTGTCTTTGCATCTGTGGGTAAAGTAATCAACCGTGCTGAGATTGTGGGTAAAGTAATCAACCGTGCTGAGATTGTGGGTAAAGTAATCAACCGTGCTGAGATTGTGGGTAAAGTAAGCAACCGTGCTGAGATTGTGGGTAAAGTAATCAACCGTGCTGAGATTGTGGGTAAAGTAATCAACCGTGCTGAGATTGTGGGTAAAGTAAGCAACCGTGCTGAGATTGTGGGTAAAGTAATCAACCGTGCTGAGATTGTGGGTAAAGTAATCAACCGTGCTGAGATTGTGGGTAAAGTAATCAACCGTGCTGAGATTGTGGGTAAAGTAATCAACTGTGCTGAGATTGTGGGTAAAGTAATCAACCCTGCTGAGATTGTGGGTAAAGTAATCAACCCTGCTGAGATTATTTACACAAACTTGGTGGGCGGCAGCCCAACTGACTGCTCTTTACAAATAAGTTCTTTTCATTTGACAAATGGAAACAAGATAAAGCTGAATGTATCTGTAGTGTTACAATGTTTAAAGAGCCCGTCACCCATGTGATGGTCTGTCTCTTACCCTGGTGGCCATAAGCCTTTAGGTCTGTGAACGTCCAAACACACAGTCTTATTCTCAGAGTTTGTAAACACTGAGCACCTCTGGCACCCTAACATGTTGCATGTATTGTCCTTGATGTGAAAGCACAGGTCCAGCGGCATGGTCAGCTGGGAGAATGTGCCCAGTGCCACGCCAATGAAGCCACCGAATATGTAGATGACGTCTCCAACGCTGACAGCATCGAGGCCCACGCCAGACACCGGTGACTGGAACAGTATATCATCTAACTCAAATTCTGAAAAATGAGGGCAATGGTTCAGCATTACTGGTCTGACATCAAAATCACCTGAGGATGTTGCTTTGCATTTTTTTTTTTACACACTTAATTGCATACGCCATTGAGGCAGTTTCATAATCAACTGAATATTGAAGTTTAACACAAATCTCCATTCTCTGATCAAACACAATTCCAATGATCAAGTTCAATGATAAAAGCATAAGTGAATGATATTCCTTCACTATAGAGTGAATGGACTGTTGATATTGACCTCAAGCCAATGTATTTACTTACTAGATTCATTTAAAAACTGTTTTTAAAAAACTAATGATATCCAATTTCATTAAAAAAAACTTGAACTACAGGATAATTACCTTTCAGCTTCTTTTAAGCCAGATTAGTTATTATAAAACCATATGCCGACAGAATCATTGCTGAAGAACAGGCGGGCTTCAGACAAGGACGGGGCACTACTGAGCAGATTCTAAACCTCCGAATATTATGTGAGAAATTTGCTCAACATCAACACAGCCTATACCACGTCTTTGTGGACTTCAAGAAAGCATTCGACAGGGTTTGGCATGCTGCTTTATGGGCCACCATGAGGCACTACAACATCAACACAAAACTAACCAGCATGATATGCAACCTCTATGATAAGGCCACCAGTGCAGTCTTCCTCAACAACAACATCGGAGAATGGTTCAAGACCACGGTTGGAGTACGACAAGGCTGCCTGCTCTCCCACACCCTTTTCAACATCTTCCTAGAGAGAATTATGTCATATGCTCTGGAAGCGCATCAAGGGACAGTCATCATAGGTGGCAGAACAATCACCAACATAAGCTTTGCAGACGACATAGACTGACTGGCTGGGAACGAAGAAGAGCTAGCCAACCAGGTAAAGCGTCTTGATAAGACCTCGTCGTCCTACAGCATGCTAATCAGTGCAGAAAAGACAAAACTGATGACAAATAATACTACAGGCATCACCACTGAAATTAAGGTCGGGGAGGAAAGATTAGAGACTGTCGGCCGCTTCAAATACCTAGGAGCAATAGTCTCAGAAGAAGGCTCCAAAGCCAAACTGATGTCCAGGATTGCACAGACTACAACAGCACTAAAGAAGCTCAAGAAAATATGGAATGAGAAAAATATAGCCCCCAGCACCAAAATCAGGCTGATGCGCTCATTAGTCCTCTCAATTTTCCTGTATGCCTGCGAATCCTGGAATTAACAGCCGATCTTGAAAGGAAAATAAAGGCGATGGAGATGAGATGCTTCAGAAGCATTTTTGGCATCTGCTATAGGGACCATATCTCCAATGATACAGTGAAAGAAAGGGTTCGTCAGGCAATTGGGGAGTACGATGACCTACTAGTGACTGTGAAAAAACGCAAACTACAATGGTACGGCCACGTAACAAGGAAACAAGGGCTTGCCAAAGAAATATTGCAGGGCACCACAAGAGGGGGGAGAAGAAGAGGAAGAAAAAGATGGGAGGATAACATCAAAGAGTGGACAGGACTAACACTGGGCGATGCAGTGCGTAGTGCTGAAGACAGAGAGGAATGGAGGAGGATAGTTCACATGTCATCTGTGGCGCCCCAACGGTCCAAGGACTAAGGGACATGAGGATGAGCGGGCCGCAAAATATCATCTTGCGGGCCGCAAATGGCCCGCGAGTTTGAGACCCCTGCTTTAGTTCATCTGTCAAAATATTTCTTGTCATCAATCCTGAAGAGTAGTTAGCTGGCAATATAAAAATTTTAAAAATGAAAAAAGGGATTTTTCAACTGGTCAGCACCCCACATAAATGAATTGTATGATTTGACCATACTTGGCTTTCTCACCATTAATTACCTAAATACAGTTTTGGTTCTGTTCACAAAGAAAATCCATTTGCTGACATATAATTTTAAATAAAAGATCATTTTATTATATCTCCACTGAAGTTAAAAGTTTATTACTGCTTATCCGTCACATATCACATTACAAAAAATTCACTTCGCACAGTCTGTCCTTATTGTCGGTTTCAATATTAATGCCATAATTTGAATAAATCTGTTTTTGTGCATAAAGTCATTAGCCCAAAAACAACTAATCAGCTTTGTGAGAAAAACTGTTTTAAAGGAAAAAAACATACCTGTATAGTATCTTGGCAAATGTCTACCATTTCATGCATTATTTTCTTTGTGTACTTTCTGAGTGAATCTCCAGAATCCAGATCTAGTCTTTCCAATAGTTCAGGCATTGTTTCTAATCTCTGTGTATCTCGCACAGCAGAGATAAATGATGGTGGCAGGCCACTGTGATCGATCGGTGGGCTCAAATTTACAAGGAGAGGAACAGGGGGATTGACAGAAGTAGAGGCACTTGGGGGGAATAATTGAACAGGGGGTAGTATGAGGGGTCCACTTTTAGGGCTAAGCAACATTCCTGTTAAAAAAGTATATAAAATATGTGCTTGGGTTATAGAAATATATATTAGGGCGTCCCAAAAAAATGAAGTTTTGAAATGTTGATGTCTCACCCCACAGAATATGTCTGTATGGTAACAGTAGTTAACCTGCAAAATTTCAGCTCATTTGGACAATGTTTAGAGGTCCCCCAAGAGGTTTAAAGTTCCAGATTTTGGTGTAAAATCATTCGCGGTCAAATCTAATACAGCGTTAATGTTGCATTATATGCGAAACTGATATATTAAGTAACAAATTGATGCTTAGTATTGTTTATAATATTAAATGAAACAAAATATATAAATCTTGAATGGTTTATATTTTTAAATTTGAAATTTAAGTAAAAAATTATGAAAAACAAAGTTTTATTCATTTTGTCAAGTTAATTCTTGAAAGAATGTCAATCTGCTTGAAAAATAATAATAAGCAATGCAATTAAGCATTCCTAATATTTATCTTGTACTTTGTACTGTAGGGTAGACAAAAATTTAAAAAAGTTCTTCAAATTTAAATTTTAGCCAGCTGTTCACGATTACACTCTGCAAAATTTTTCCGATGTTTGTCAACCACTTGGAGCAAAAATTGTTTTTGTTCTTCGTCCTTGGTGATACTGTCATTGAAATTTTGTATCAATGCTACACCTCGCTCTGCAGAGTCATTGATACAAGCCAGATTCTTTACAAAATCTGCTGCAACTTTAAAAGATGGTGTATCTGACCATGCTTCAACAGGAACATCTAGAAAACTGGCATCAATGTTGGATGTTTCAAAAAATGTGGTAGAAGCACGCAAATCAACAACACTTTTTGGTAGTGTTTTTATGAGATGCGGTCCACGTTCTGATTGCATTGTCCGAACAAGGCCAGTTTTTTCTTTGTCCGACAAAAGGGTTGAAAATAACACAAGCGTCGACAGTTCCGGACTCAAGTACCACGAGTGACGCACCATCATTTTCAATCCAGTCGATCGAAGAACAGCATCATCATATTCGTATAAACGCTGTATCAACAAGATATCATTCACAGGTGCATCTGCGGTGAGCCTGCATGAAAACCATGATTGAAGATAAACACATATGGTAAACCGATTAAAGCGCTGAATACCTTGTAATTCTCGAGCTGTTAACTGAAAGATGGTTTCGTTGCCTGCAAACAATAGTTCGATTTTCAATGCATAGATTGCTTTCGCCATCCACCTTGCCCTATGTAGGGCACCAGGTCTGCGAATGCTGACATCAACCTCCAACCCAACCATTTGTGCAGCAAGCAGAAGAAATTCCAAATAATCATCACGTGAATGACTGACCTCAAGTTGACATTTGATAAATTCTTTAATCGAATCGGACACGATTATCAAAGGGGCGGATCTGGCTTCGGGTGTGTGGTTTAATTCTGGCCATTTTTCTCGAAACCTCTTAAAAAACAAAATCTCTGGTCCAGTGGATGGTCCAAGACAAACATTGAATGCATCGGAAAGGAGTACTTCCAACATGTGATGACGGCATGCCATCCATAATAGATTACGTCCCAGGGCTACTTCTAACAGAGTGCAAGCTCCATTGAGTCTTCCAGTATTGGAAGCCGTAGTGTCGAAGCACATGCCGATGACCATAGATTCGCACTTCCACGATTTGATATGTTCATATACTGCATCAGCAGCTGCCCGTCCTGACCCGGATGCTAACTTGGGAACACCAAGAAGCTTTGTAGTGCCATCGACAAGTGATGAGAGCAGGACAGGTAATCGATCGACGTTGTTGGTAACCTCTCCGGTAACATCGGGCAATAGCTTACCATCCCAATGAACAATTGAATTTGAGGGAATATAGTCTTCTTTTATACGTGCTGCAGCTTGTTGACGACGAAGCTTGCGATGACGATGCATTGTGCTCTAGGAAAATACTGTGTCAGATGTATTTAAAATACTAGTTTTAAAAAATTGTTTAAAAACAATGCCATGTGGTGTCTTGCAAACTTAAAACAAGATGGCCACCTTGGTCATGTGACAATAGCACTGCAGCAAATAATAACAAGTAAGTATGGTAGAGAATAATTTCATAATTGTTTCTAGCCTGACAATTTAGCATGCTTAGTTTAAAACAATCAAATCTTCAAAAAATATGCACAAGTTTTGCACATTAGGTATTTTATATGTTTTCTCGCATTTATTACATTTTCTAATTAAGAATCACACAATTTCAACTCTAGTTAATGGTAGCAATGAGGTAAATATAAGTATATTTAAACTTCATTTTATTCATATATGGCATGCAAAAACTGCAAGTTATTTGAGCCACGATTCGTCTGGATTTTTATGTTGGCCTAATACTGGAATTTTAAAAGCTCTTGGGGGACCTCTAAATGTTGTTCAAATGAGCTACAACTTCACCAATTTTGGCCTAATACTGGAATTTTAAAAGCTCTTGGGGGACCTCTAAATGTTGTTCAAATGAGCTACAACTTCACCAATTCACTCATTGTACCCAAGAGACACATTTCAGGGGGTGAGACACCAAAGATTAAAAAAAAAAAAATTTTCAGAGCATTTCTGGGACGCCCTAATATATATATATATATGTAATAAGAAAGACACTATATAAGTAAGAAAGTACCCAAAATGTTTAAAAATAATATTTCTATTAGTTAAATAATATATTTATTTCTGTTTAAGAGAAAAAATTATAAAGTAATTGTATATTTGGCATAAAGCTTTTGCATTTCATTTTAAATTATCTTTTTTTTTTAATACCTAAAAATGTATAATCTTACCTGCTGAATCAGGATCTGTGGAACAAACTAATGGTTCTGCTGGCTGACTAACAGGTGTAGATGAAAGAGGAAAACCGACTCTTTTGTTCAACTGTGTTCGAGGTAAGCGTGGAGCAGGGGCCGCTCCTGTTGCACTAAAATGTAGCATAGGTGGATCATTCCACCCGTCTATCTGTCCACCACCTTGAACAAAAAAAAATCATAGTAAACTTTGATGTCCAAGCAAAGTTTTAGATGACACAATTATGTTGAGATAATACATAAAAATAGTCATGGGCTAAACATTTAGGTCTTATATTTTGCTGACATAAATTTTGGTATAAAAGAACACCTGACTTTAAAATATGACATTCACTCACAGTTACAAGTTTTGTGCTGTACGACTATTTTAAGATACCTGGGATCAGATCACTGAATGTTTTTGTTATCAATATCATAGTTCTTTTCATTCACCTTACATTAGGTATTTTGACATAAATTTTAAATATTTAAATAGTGGCTTGATTGCCATAAAAGATACATCATAAAGTAAGATAAGATTCTTTAAATGGAAATGTTTTTTTGATTACACTACATATTCATTTTCAACACATAAATAAATACATATTTTAACCAAGGCAACATTTTACAATTATAAAAAATTTAAACACAAGACATCTGGAGTATTTCTTTAGCGTAGAAATGAGCCATCAATGAACTCCCTTAGTGACAATAATGACTTGATTAGTGATCATTTAGATTTGGTAGCTGCTGGGCTGGGGGAGCAGGCTAGTAAATTCATAATAATTATTATTATTTTCCTATCAATTGATTCAAGCTTCAACATACCTCGCTCTGCTATTTCATTTTGTAAATTCATACAGACTGGGGACCAAAATAATTTTTATATCTTTCTGTCCTAAATTTAAGAGAGAGAACTTGGCCTGATCCAGTTGATCTTAGGTATCTGTGATGAAGAGGGTGGGATGTAACATCCAAATTTTTTTTAGTTTTACTTTCAAATTGCACTTTTCCTCAAATAGTTCTTTGAACGATGTTTAGTTTGTGTGATATTACTAACTTAAACGGCTAGCTACAAGCTTTATAAGAACATCAATTTAATCTTTCTAACTTTTATAGAAGTGGAGCTATGAATTTTCAAAAGCTCTTAATTATCTTTGTATTTCAATGCAAAAAACTTGTGACCATCTTTCCAAATTTCTGCCGAATTTTTCCAAAACTTTTTTATTTCAAGAGTTAATGTTACCAAATTTCACTAGCTCACTAAAAACTACTAGAGTTAAGCAGAGGAATTATGATTGTAAGAAAAAAAAAATCACAAAAAAACTTTTTATTCATCGTAATTTGATTTATTTTATTTTAAGTCCATATAAATGTTTATTATAGACAAAATATCAGTAAATGGAACCCAAAGTCAAAGGAAGAAAAGAGATAGGAAGAAATTTTTTTAAAATTAGATGCTTTACACAAATATATATGCACTGATAAGAATCACATAAAAAGAATAATAGATAACTTATAGGTCTGAAAGTAAAAAATATTTTTTTCAAAATGTTACATTGATAGAAAAAAAAAGTTATTTCTTTTTACGATAACCATTGGAGGGGCCCGCTGGTAAATTTTGACAAAGTTGGGAAACAAATAAATGATTTTTTATATCTTTCGGCCCAACGTTGCATTGGCCATATTGATGATGCTTTGCCTCAATACTGTAATCACTATGCAAATGCACTTTGCTTGCTTTCTTTTAATTCCTTACAATGTGAGATGTGTCAGGAGATCAGAGGCAGATTCTTTTAAATCACAATCAAACACACACATCAACAAACAAACAAAATCTGTCACCCAGAGCAAGTTTCAAATCAAAAACCTTACAGCTTTTGGGAAAGAGCTTAATTTTAATCTTTCTGCAATTGCTTGCAGCCATTTATTGTTATTCAATATGTACTATTTTATTTTATTGGCTTAATGCCTAACAATGTAAACAATTATGAATAAATCATAGAATTAAATGTGCAATTATAATATGGGTATGTATAATGTACATAATATGTATATGCATAACACAAATAACTCACAAACATTTAATGCCAAGTTGAGAATCGAACCACGATCCTAACGAGAATGAGCCATCTCTTACTTCCATTTACTGATATTTAGTCTAAATAAAGATTTACAAATAAAATTACAGCTAATAAAAAACAGGTAAA